TGCAACAATCCTTTGAAAAAGGTACTGTTGATGATGATTTTGTTAAGTTTCCCTTTGTGTATACATATGTATACACGTATATATGTAGATATATACATAAAAGACATTATCAAATGGGTATAATGTACATGTGTAGATAGACACTCATGTATATATACATACATATACACACATACACATACTCATGGGGGGGCGGCACAAGCAAGGAAGGAAAATTAACACAATACACAAAAACTTTAAAAATACTACACGAGTTCAAGCCATATGACTCATTAGTCCCAAGTTTCCTTCCCTACTCAGAACATTAGGAGATGTAAAGGTTTCAGAAAAGTGCAGGAGTCCTTGATGTCATGGTTGGAAAGTGAAGGATGCACATCAAATAAACAGAACTTCCCCACAATTGGTCATCATGACTTTGCAGGCAAGGAATTTAACCCATGCCTTATATTTCTCTTGTGTCTCCTATAGTACTTAGGAAAGGGCTGAGTCAACAGAAAGTACTCAATAAATAATTTTTGACTAATTAATCATAAAATTCAAAGTTGAAAGGGACATTAGATATTATTTAGTCTAAGCCTTTCATTTAATAAATTTCGATATCAAGAGTATGAGAGGGGAAGTAACTTTTCCCAAGTATTTAATGAGTTTTCCTACCATAAATTTACCTAAATATTTTATGTTATTAAGATTAAGCAGTAATTTCAGGGTATCTCTGAGGAAATTTCATTATTCTATTGTACTTAAGTATCAAATTTATAGGACCCCTTCAAAATTCATTTCTGTCATGGAGTCCTGTGTTAGGGAAAAAAAAAAGTTAATTAGGCCTTTATTGTTGAGCTTAAGAATCCTGCAATCCTCCTTTAGCACATGAAATTATTACAAGAGTGGTTTTGTGATTTGAAGAGAGGCCTTGGAAAGAGGTCAATTAACTCAAATATGTATTTTGGAGTTAGTACATTAGGGATGAAAAGGTAAAAACAAAAACAAAAACAAAACCTGTAGCTCTTTGGTTATTAAATGGAGAATAAATTATGGAATTGAAATCAATTCATGTGAATTGCTAAAAGGTGACATATGAGAAGAAGAAGTGGCATAAGCCTATAGGCTCTGATTTTAAATAATCTCAACCAATCTACTTCCAGGACCATAAAAATGCAGAAGTTATATGCTACTTGTTCCTGAATATCAATGTGTCTTATCATTGAATAAATAATTAGAACAAAGAACAATAGTCCAGGAATTTTAGTCAGGCAAATCCAAACTATGATTCTAAACATTTGGCTACATCATTCTTTCAAATTTGTTATTGGGGGAATATATAGTTTACCTTCTGGATAAGTAATAATCCTGGCTTATATAATTACTAGTTGGACTAATTGGCCTTCTCTTTCCTTTTCCTGATCAGGTTGATGATGCTGGCTGGAAGCTCATATTTGACTTTATCACATTTGGAAAAGTAATTTCCTGAAGATTTAATTATGGCCCATGCAATTTTTTTTCATGCAGAACAAAGATGAGGCTGTTTCAGCCAAGCCACTGACTGCCTCAAAATTTTCTCTGGAAATTTGTGACAATGGCTAATCAAAGTATTTAATATTGAGGATTGACATAGGTGTGTGTGTGGGGGGGAGGGGACATTTATTATCTCTAACACAAGAATATCTCTTTCGAAAGATACTTTCTTCCAAACTTTTATCTTCCTCTGGCTTCATGGCTGTCACTAAAGAATAGGTCAGGTTTTAACCTAATTATCCCATCTCCATATCTGTTCATCTTCCCAGTTCCCAAAGATTCACAAGGAAATAGAAAACAAGCTGAGTTAATTAATATGTGAGTAAATATGCGATTGCTGCAGGCATCTGTTTTACCTAGTCTACAAAATGGTATTCTCCATCTTACTCTCCATCACCTCCTGTCCTGTCCTGTCCTTTCCCCTTCACTCTGTTCCCCTTCTCTTCTTTTTTGTCCTCTCTTCCCCTTCTTTATCTCCTCTTCTCACCAATATCTGATACTTTTCAGCATTTCTCACATTCCTCACTCCTCTATCACTTTCATTTTATATATATAATATACACATATATATACATATATACACACACAAACACATACATATTCACACATGTATATATTTATATATACACACACATACACATAGAGATTATATATATATGCAGTGTATGCATGTGTATACATGGCATACATATTTGCTTGTATATGGGTGTCTATGCGTGTATATATGCATAGACATCTACATATAAACAATTCAGTAGTGACACTGATATGGACCACTTAGAAATGCTCCTTAAAATGCCTGGCCATTTTAAAATTATAAAACTTTTCTCTCCTCATTTTTCTTCTTGTGTAAGATGATTTATTTTTTCTTGCTTTGACAACTACTTTGATGGCAGAGCACTTCCAGAACCATGTTTTCCTTTTCCTAACTTCACTTCTCCATTCAATTTTGCTTCTTGTGCTGACACCTTGCTACCACCTCAATTTGAATGTTTTTCTTCTTTCTCCCCTTTTGTATTCCTTGGGAGTCATTTTTAGTGCCTTGGTTTCTCACACTCAGAATTAACTTCATTTTATTTTATTTTTTTAACCAGAAGGTGAAGTTGTTGCAAGGCCTATAGCTTTTCTCTCCACAATAACTTTGGTTCCTACTCCATTTTTTGTAACACTTCAAGGATTAGAGCACTATTGTGGATCTTAAGCATGTGACTGGAAATCATTATGTCCCTTTCAGTGACATCCTTGCCTTGAGGCCTTTTCAATCCAATCAGCTTCAGATGCTGCTGCCTTACACATCTCTCTCATCCCCATTTTGGCCTTATTAATGCCTTCCAAAAACTCCATTCCTAATGTCTTTTGCCTTTCTATATACAAATAAAGCTACTCACTTTGATTTATTGTAATTCTAATCAAACAGATCTCTCCCACACACATTAGCTTCTTTGTTATGCCCTATTCTTACAGCTTTTTGTTTACCTTTATTCTGTCAAAGTTTGGTTAAGTAGGTCAGTTTATCTCTTTTACCTTGATAGCCACCTCTAACTTCACATCCAAAATAAACTTTCTTCCTATCCTTCAAAACCCAGACCAGGCACACCTCCTTCCCTAACAAAGGAAAGGGAATATTAAACAATTTGTACATTGAGTTAAGCCTGTCAACCTTCTTGATTCTTGTATATTTATGTGCTCATTGAATAGTTCTGTCACTTGTCCAAACATTCAGCAGTACTTCAGAAAACACTTACTTGGTGTATATTCTGTGCAAGATAGGATCCAGGTGCCAGGAATATTTATTATTTAATAAATAATACCTGATTTCAATGAATTTGTAGTCTATTAGAGGACTTCAAAACAAAACAATGACAAGATCAGCAGCAGCAGCAGTAACAATAACAACTAACACTTAGAACATACTTGGAGTATTTTTTAGTGAAAAGAGAGTCTGACCCAGAGAATCAAAGACTTGGGATCAGGTCCTACCTCTGACATATACTGGCTTTATGATCCTAGACAAGTCATTAACCTCTTAGAGCCTAGGCAACTCTGTGAGAGTATGTTCAGGAGAAAAGGTTGGTGCCTGTTTTGGTAAGGAGTCTGTTTCCTTGTCTAGAAGTTCGTTGGCACAGTAGATAGAGTGTCAGACCTGAAGTCAGGAAGACTGAGTTCAAACCTGGCCTTAGATACTTACTGGCTATGTGCCTCAGGCAAGGCACTTAACCTTGTTTGCCTCAGTTTTCTCATCTGTAAAATGAGCTGGAGAAGGAAATGGCAAACCATTCCAGTATCTCTGCCAAGAAAACCCCCAAATGGGGTCATGAAGAATCAGACACTACTAAAAATGACTGAACAACAGAACAAAATACCAATGAGATTACAGGTCGAGGCCCTGTCCCTATCCAGCACTTTAATGTTTGCAAAACACTTTTCTTATGTCATATCATTTGATCCTCACAACAATGTTCTTAGGTAGTTGTTATCATAGCATTAGTATTCTGTTTTTGCAGATATGGAAACAGGTTGAGAGGGATTGAGAGAGACTAAGTGACTTGACCAGGGTCACCTGGCTAATAAGTGTCTATGGAAAGATTTGAATTCAGGTCTTCCTGATTCCATGCCTAGGATTCTACCACAGCACCAACTTGTATGTATAATATAATTAAACAGTCGTTCGAAACCTACAAAATATTTTCCTGACAACAACTCCATGAAGTAGGTAATGTAAGCTTATTATTTCCATTCTACAGATGAGAAAACCAAGACTTAACAGTGTTTAAGTAATTTTTTCCACACTTACGATATTCAATCAATAGATCATATTTACATAGTATTTTTCTTACAAAGCTGTGAGCTAGGTAGCACAAGTCATACCCATTTTACATACAAAGAAACTTAGCTTTAGGGTGTGTGATTTATAGGATATATTAATATATCCTATATATCTAACACTTGCCTTACAATAACTCTGTGAGATAGATAGTGTGTTTTATTATCCTTATTTTACACACAAGGAAACCAACACTTTGAAAGTTTAAAAGTGACTTGCCAATAGTCCTGTCTAGGCCTTGATTCCGATTCTTCTGATACTAAGTTGTGTCATCTTTTTACAAAATTATGCTACTTCTCTAACAATGTGTAAATGAGTACATTAAAGATAGGAACCAATTCTGTAACTTGTACCACCTAAAACACTGTGACCATTTAACAAAGAAAATGTGATTGTAAATAATAATTCTGAATTATAAACATATGAATTATGAAGGGGAAAATATTGCTTAGAATCTTACGTAGCATTGCTATATGCAACTAGATTCAGCTGACTCATCAGCATCCAATTAGCAATTATAACTCATTTAAATGTTTCTAATAGATATCAGTTAAGTATAGCTGAAGCAATAATCCCTCAGCAATAGCAGCATCATTTCTCTGCCTTTCTAAAGTTAACTACTTCCCTTTTCCTCTATATCCAACATTTGGTATTAAAAACTTACCGCTTTTACCAACTCCCCCTGCTCCCAACATCACCACCTTGTACTCTTTGGACCCTCCTGAGGAGCTGCCTGAGGAGCAGATGGTCTCATTCTCTGTCTCCATCTTACAGCAAGGACTGAAGAAGAAGTATAGGAGAAGGAAAAAGAGAAAGAGCAAGACAGGGAAAAAAAAAAAAAACACACACACACACACGCACAGCACTGTCAGGTGCTTACTAGGATATTACACAACTCAAAAACCATGTAAAAAGAAAGATTTCGTAAAAGAGATAAGAACAATCAGCTTCAGGCTGGCTGCTGTGCCTCTGTTTGCTGGAACAGGTCTCATAGCAACCACTTTAACTGCTTCCAATAAAAATCTCCCTTTCACAACCCCTCCTTTCGGATCCTTCACTCTCTCTCCAGCAAGCAGGCTCCTTTTTCCTCTATGTCTCTCTTTCATCAGAGCTTCTCTCTCTCGCTCTCTCTCTCACTTTTTTTTTTCTGCACAGTCACAGTTATCAATGCCACTGGCAGTGAGCTACTTTCAGGCATATCCTCACTGCCAAGATGCAATGAAATGGAGTTTTAGCCAGCAATATCCTGGCTCATGGACTGATGGCTACAGTTCAGTTTTCAAAGGGAAAGGCTTTTTAAAAAATTGGAGTCCAATTATGAAGAATTTCTGGTGTGTTTTGCAGATCTCCTAGTTCTTTAACATTAGCCTTATTCACTGTTCATCTTTAATGAAATGTCTAGTGTGACTTTTCTCACTTTAGAGGTGAAAGTACTGAGGCACAGAGTTACTGAGGTTGCTTTAGGACAAGAAATTAGCATTTCTAAAGTGTTGCCCTTATAGTAGACACTTTATAAATGTTTGTTGAATAGAACTGAATTAAAATGAATTGAATCAATTGACATTTCTTTTTGCTAAACCTAGAGCTGCACATCAAATGCAGGTGTCTGAACTGGGTCACTATTGTTTATCTATGCACATAAATTGCAATGTGATTTGACCAGCATGGAGCAAACAGTACAATATCAAATATAGAAGGAGATCTCAATAAATATTTGGGAGAGTGATGATAGCATCAAATGGCTATTTCCTTCTCCTATACATGGATGGAAGCCCTAAGTCAAAAAGACAATTTAACAAAATATTCAGACTTTGTGTTTTCAAAGTCTTTAGGCGTGGAGCATAGCCAAAAGAGTTTCCAAACTATATGATGGTTCCTTAAGCTTTTAGTAGATTCCATTTTGTTGTTATCATTATGTTCAGATTTATATGTTAACAGTCATCTGCCAAAGTTTATAGACATCACTTCTTATACTTTTAGACTTAGACAATTGTCTGGGGTCATTAAAGCTTAAGTAACTTGTCAAGAATAAAAAAAAACAATATGTGCCAGAAGCAAGACTTGAACCCATGCCTTTGGGATGAGGTAATATTTCTAAAGTGTTTAGCACAGTGCCTGGCACATAGTCGATGCTATATAACTGCTTATTCACTTCTGCCTTCTTGGTCTATGTACAAAAATGATCTAGCTGTAATGACCATTTCAGCTATAAAATTATCTTCTGAACATAATTTTACTATGGATTTCTATTTTACTTATTGCCTGTACTATATAATTTAGCACTTAATATCTTTATGCAGTGCTTTGAAGTTTACAAATTATTTTTACATGTGTTATCATTGGATTCTTACAATAGTCTTATTAGGGAGGTGGGGCAAGTAATTAAGATAGTCTCTATGCAGATGAAAAACTGAGTCTTGGGGCAGTTAGGTGGCATAACGGATAGAGCTCAGGTCTTGGAATCAGGAGGACCTGAGTTCAAATCTGACCTCAGACACTTAACACTTACTGTGTGACCCTGGGCAAGTCACTTAACCCCCATTGCCTCATAAAGAAAAAAAAAAACAAAACAAAACTGAGTCTCAAAGAGAAGCTGTCTTTTGCCCAAGTACACACCTCATCAAGTAAGTAGCTGAACCAAACATGCATAAGTCAGAGATTCTCTTTCTTCTATTCCTTCTAGCAGATACATCTCTTGATTACACAAGAGCTTGTATTATCCTTCTGTTGTTTTCTGTATTATCTTCATAAGCAAATTGTAATCTCCTTGAGGGTAAGAACTATGTCTTTGGCAGACTTGTATCAGCCAAAGAGATTAGAAAAGCAATGGTCACATAACACATTATCAATAAATAATTGATGATTTGAATAATTTGGTGATAGTGCTACTGGTTGTTCCCTTTAGGGTCTGAATGTTTAGGAGCATTTCTAATTGTCAGAATATTCTGAATCAAGCCATTCATTGTGTTTAGGCCTAGTCTGTATGCATGACAAGGACACATATTCATGAGATAGCTGGAGGAATTTCAAGATGTATTCTGAAATCTATCTTGTTCTGGGTAAAGTTAACTAGCCTGTCTTAGGATGAATACTATAGCCTTTGTCTCATGAACAGCATGCTCTAGTAAGATCTTTGAAGTCTGAGATCTCAATAAGGGGATGGATGGTGGTAGCTCTGAGGATTTGGAATTTCCTGGTTTATATTTCTAGTTATGTCATTAGATTCTTTATAACCTTGAAAAAAACACACTACTTCTCTGGATTGCAGGTCTGCCATCTGTTATGCCATTATCTATCTTGAACTTTCCATTTTGGTGGTAAAGCACAAGAGTTGTCTTGCAGCATCTATCCTGTTTTCTGTCTCTTATTCTCAATCTGACAGGCTCCAATATCATTGTGAGCATTGGTTAAGAATATCCACACAGGTTTAAAGTGTGGCAGATTCTGGTATACAGCTGAGCCTTAAGTAACTGAATGACTTGCATAATTTTAAAAAAATGGTCATAATAATAGTTCTTTCTGGCAAATGCATTCTGATCTCTGCTCAGTTATTAAATTATGTTGCAGTTGGGATATGGGTCAACAATATTTCCCCCAGTTTGTATGTAAAGGTACCAAAGGAGGAAAATATTTAATGGCAAGCATAAGCCAGGCATACTCGATTGCTCATCCAGAAGACAAATTATGTATGCCTACAACATCAAATTGAAAAGAATGTTGCAACCAAAACTTTAGGATCAGAGCTAGGATTTGCCTGATTGAAAGTCCTGGCCTGTGGTTCTTTGTTTCCATTATTTACCCAATGATAACATACAGCAATATTTTAAAAAATGTTATAATTTCTGCATTTCTAGATTGAGAAAATAGACTGGGGTTATTTAAAATCAGGGATTTAACATTTCTTCTGTCATGGGTCACCTTCTATTTGATAAGTCTCATGAACTGATTTCAATTTTATTACTATTTTTTATTCTGAATTTAACAATCAAAAGGTAGTGAGATATATATATAAATATATATTTTCCCTTTTCATCTGCAATGTACTAACTCTAAAAAATATTGTTTCAGTTTAATTGGCCTTTTTTGGTGTTCCCACAAACTTCTTTATTTTCTTCTGGAGTCTTTAAATTTATTTATTTATTTAATTTTTAATTTATGGAATAAAAATAGGATTTACATAACATAACACAGCAAAAAAGATGATTACATATGAACTTGAAAATCTATTATGTACAATTTGCTATTCCTTCTAAATATATAATAAAGTCATCATGTAAATTTATTTTTTTCTACCCCCCAACTTGCCCTAGAGATGGTTACCATTAGACATAAATATGTTTTATGTATTTATGCATATGTATTTATATATATGCATATGCATATATGTATATACACACACATATATATGTAAAATCATTCTATACATACTTATCAGTTATCTATCATACTATGTATTTATCTTTTTATTCTTTCTCTGAATTCAGACAGTGTCTTCCTTCCTTCCTACAACTCCTTCGTAGTCTGTTTGGGTATTTATAATAGTCAAAATCATTTATTCACTCAAAGTTCTTCTTAAAACAATATTACTATTACTGTATACAACATTTCAGTAATCTGTGATGGGACTTTGTTTCATTTGGTGTTTCTTTTTGGGCCTGGGATCTTCTTTTAACAGGATCAAATGCAAAAGCATTTGTATGGTACCTAGCATATACTAGGTGTTATATAAATGCTCATTTTGTTCCATGCCCCTTCCTTCAAGTCAAACCACACAAGTTGTTGCTGTTGTTGTGGTTGTTGCTGTTGTTATTGTTGTTGTTTTTTACTGTCATCAATCAACAAGCATTTATTAAACACCTCTTTTGTGCCAGCCACTATAACAGGCACTGGGAATACAAATACACAAGTTGTTGTCATCTGGGGCAGAATTTTAGTCTATGACCTCTGACTTGAGAGTTAATGTTGTTTCTACTAAACACTCCATTTATGTGTATGTGCTTATGATATATAATGTGAAGCCCTCTTAAACTGTAATACATACATTTGGTAGTGATACAGATGCTAACCTAGATTCTCTGATTCCAAATCCATGGCACTCTGCTGTATAAGTGATTTGCTTGCCTCCATTTCCTTCTCTGATTCATGGACTGCTACCAGATCAATGTTCACAGAGTACAGGTCTGATCATGCCAATTTAAATTCCTATGGCATTTACTGCTTGTGCCAATCATTTTTCACTTGTCATGATGATTTGCATTCTTAGATTAGAAATTCCTTTTTTTTCTGTACCTATCATAGCACTAAGCACAATGCCTTATATTTAGTAGGGACAAAAAATTATTGATTGATTAATAGATTACATAATAAAATATCACAAGTTTAGACTCTATTAAAAGCTTCCCAACAATTAGAGCTGCCCAAAGATGAAATGGGTTCTCTTGATAGATAGTAATTTCTCTGTCACTGGAGTTCTGGAATCAGAGCCTAGATGATCACTGGTGGGGATGAAGCAGCCAGGATTAATGTTTTAGTAATAAATTAGGCTAGAGGATTTCTAAGGTGTTTTTTTTTTTTTAACTCAAGGAACTGTAATTCTACGAATTCAAATTTAGATGAAGACTGGGCAACTTTCAATATTCTTATTCCTTATAAGAAAAAAAATAAGGTTTGCTAAGTAAAATAAATATTTTGAACAAGATGGTATCAGGAACACTTTACATGTTGTTTCTGGCATAATATATTTTGATATTTTAAAGTATAATTTTCT